TTATTAAAAAGTTAAACTACTAAATGTTTTTTGTAAATCCTCAGAGACCTTGCAAGGAAAGTAATATCTTGACTAAGTAAACAATGGCATTAAATACTAATGTTAGCTTTACAAAAATTACCTGCTTTTATAAGATTTTCAAGGCTCTCAAAGACAAGTTCTGTATTTATTTTTCTTTTGGAAGAGATACCAGTATGTAAACAAGTATCTGTCAAATACATTTACGTATTGTGATCAATGTGAGGGAGATTTTCTTTACAACTTCGCCTATTAACTTTGTTTTTTTCTAATTGTCTTGACTGCCAATTTTAATGATCTAGCCAACTCTTCAGATTCTGTATTTAGTTTTATTACTATTTAAAAGTGTATCATAACCTATAAAAGACTTTAAACATTGTCTTTTATTTAAAAATCTGCATTTTGTCTATGGCAATAAATAATACAAACAATGTAATTTTCTACCTAGTGTACTCAGTAAGTATATGTGGATGTTGGTTTGGTTTTTTTGATTTTTTTTTTAAGATACCAATTGTAGCTACGATCAAACAAACAACAGATCACTGCATCCTACCAAGCACTAAGAACAGTGGAACACTGAACAATCCTTTGCTTCTAGAGTAATCTCAACATTTAATGATCTTAGAGGGAATAAAAACTTTGACTCAGCAGTACTCTGAATCTTACATCAAATAGGGTCAGCATCCAGTTTAAGGAAACATAATCATTCAAAGAATGTCTGCAAAGCTGAACCCGTGGTGTGATGCAAATTAACTCCTGTTTATTAGTTTGAAAAGATGTAATAAAATTTAGGGGCAAAAGAACTAATAGAGTAATATCTAAGTTATTGAAGATAGAAATATTAATCCGTACTACTTTATTTTCAAACATTGATAAAAATCTATGCAGTGGTTCCAACTACATCATTGAGATGAAGTAATACTTTAATGCTATAAATATTCATTGCTGCTAGGGAAAAATGTCCCATTTTAGCAGTAGGAAGAAAGGAAGCTGAATTGGAAATAGAGTGACTTTGAGACCTAGGCAGTTTCTTCTTGCTGATGAAGGGCCTATTCTGAAAATATTTTCAAATTTCTGTTTATAGGCAAGAGACCCATGGTGCTGAGCTTCTTGTATTAGTTACTGGAATAGTTTCCAGGATGACACACCAGACCAAGGCAGAATGGCTACATGACACTTGAGTTTTTTTCCAAATGTTCTTACATGGAAAAGAATTAAAGATCAATACTAACCAGAATATCTTCCAATTTCATATCTAGGAGATCTGTTCCTGTAACATATTTCTTCCAGTCTTCCTGATCTTGTCCATCTTCTCCCATATTGTCCAGGATCAGTTCAAAGAAAATTACCTTTTCAGAAATGGTACTGAATGTGTTGTCAAAGCAGAACATGTAATCCCCATCTTCTGTTTCCACCCTGTGTATATAAGCAAAATGTGATTAAATTAACTATTCTGGTTCTCAAAAAGCGAGTTTTTGTAAGCAAAGTTTCCCCTTTAAGACTGACAACTGTGCATTCAAAATAACCAAATATGCTTTTTGTATACAAATAAGAACTCTAGGGACATTTTACAGATTGCACAGTCACAGCAAAACAATCCCACTGGCTCTAAAGGCTCAAAATGATGAAGACAGCATTTTTCTTTTGGGGGATTTTGAATTACTGTTAATCACTACAAAAAACCTATAATGAGTGGAATTCTTATACTCTATAGTAAAATTGCAACAACTATTACACATTTTGATAAAAGGATTGGAAAAAGATGGGACATTAGCTTCTTATTTATATGACTGACAAGATCTTTTGATATTAGATGTGGAGACCTTTTTCAACTCCACAATAATTATTTTTGTTCACCGACCCTTAACATCATTCAAACAAAAATATCCTTTGCTTCACGGTACGTTCCATGTAAAAAGCATTCAGTGTTTATAAAAAGAAAGTTGGTATTCTCAAACTGTCCTATTAGAAAGTCTTTTCTAATACTAAGGAATAAAAAGTACTCAACCTTTACTTTAGTTATATTTGTTAAAGAAACCAGAAAAGTACTTCATGTAACACTTCTGAGTTTAAGTATTTTAAACTTACGTATGAACTCCATCTGATTTTCTTTCATCAAAAACTAGAGTTTCACCTTTTGGAGACAGCAGATGAAAATCAACATCTAATCCTGCTCCATCTAGAACCTGTGAAACAAACAAAAAATGAAGCTCCAACCAGTGGAATTCCTGTTTGCACTGCTGATGGCAACGTTTTTAGGTAAGGGAACTGACACATAAAGAACCTGAAAGACTAATCTGTCTGTACAAGTTCATGCCAAGTTAACTGGAAACAGATTAAAAACTGGTTGAACCCAAAAGCATTTTAGCAGTTTCAAAATCTTAAACTAAATGTGATCTAATTTTGCTAGGCTAGGCTTATATTGAACCTTTCCCTAAATACTTTTAAGAATGCATACAGTTTTATCAATGGGCAACCTGTAAAAATACCAACAACAGATGCCTAAATTTGGCCTTTCTATAGCAGACATATTTGATTGGTAAGTACTAGAACTAGTTCAGTGGCAGAAATTTGATAACAAAAGTCACTCCTATGTATATAGACATATATACTTGTACAAGAACACTATGCACTGTCATCCCCAAGATCTCTTTGTTGGGTGAATTAACAGTGTAGAAGACAGGACCAGACTTCTTACGCCAATCAAAGGTGTACCACAGGCGTTCTCACCTTCTGATGCAGATTTAAGGTCTGAACTCTGCCAGGGTATTCTTTTTTTTCCCCAAAATAGGAGGAATTGAAGGCATTTAGCTTCCTAAGCTCATAAGAAGTGTATACAGTATTACAAAGCTGTGCTGCTTTAACTGTATAACATGGCTACAGTTTTATCACCACATCTGTTGTGTTGTGGAAATTCTCTTAACTGCATAAGGGGGCAGACAGGGATCATTTTTATGACATTACTTAGGTCCACGCTAGGGGATTTTTTGTTTGCTTGTTTTCCAGAGAGCTTTTTGAGTACAGCAGTCTGCTCCTGCTGAAATGGAGGGTGAAGTTTACACTGACTCAAAGGGCCACTGGAGACTTACAAAAAAAAAGTCAAAGGACAAGGGAAATTAGTAGCTAACAGCTGAAAACCCACACATAGGGACATACCTTTAGGGCTTTGATCCACTCCAAACACCCAGAAAAACAACTTTGTATCAGCATAGTGTTTATTGCGTTATGTCTTAGAAGAATTACCTGCATGCTATGTTAAATATTCCTATGCTTTAACCACTAACATAATAAGGTACAAAATCAATTTTCAACATTGAGAACATACAGAGCTCCTTTTCTAACATTCAAATAGAAAGATGAATTATTACCGTTAGCAGTAGTGCTAAGACATTGATGCCTGAGTAGAAAGAAATTCACTGTTATACTCATTTGTTCTCTCTAAAATAATGTCTTTACTTAGTTTATGATGAAAATAAAATCCAACTCAGTGCAAAATAAACTTCTGTTATGCTTAGACAGGGCTCTGAACAAAGCTTGAAAACATGTGTCTTTCATTCTTTCTCAGTTCTGTGTGTAACAATATTAGAAATTAGAAAATAATCAAGATTTTCAGCTTTGTACTTTCAGTTGGGAAGCAGAAGGGGGGAAAAAAGGGAGGGGGAGAAAGAGAGACAGATCCGGGCACAGTAGCAGGGTGGGAAAATATTCACTGCAGCTTTCCGCACTGTATCCTACTGTAAAAAAGTCTTCGTTTTACGGACAGGAAAAAAGGCCTGAGACAGAAATCTTTCCCAGACATATTTAGGAGACTCAACTCTTCCCAAGAAGACATCAAGACCTTAATTTCAGTCTAGTTAAACAGGGCTGTTTTTGTAAAACTTTCATCACTGTAATGAACGGTGTTTTAATATCAACACAAAGATAGACAAGTAGGGGCTCTGTGCATCAGTTCCTTATGCTTTAAAGGTCACATCCGTGAACTTCCTACGTTCTGCCGTTTTAAAGGATGGCGACTTGAGACATTGGAAAGTGTTAAAAAAAAATCTGCCAGCATAACTACAAAAGGCCGTTCAGGTAATTTTCTCCTCCCGAGGCACAGCTTTTAACGGAGTACGATTCCAGCGTGGCTCTGCGGCAGCCGGCGGGGCTCCCCCGCCCAGGTCTGGCCGCTGCTCGAGGCAGGGCACGCCCCCGGCTCCCGCAGGCAGCGCCGCGCCCCGAAGGCATGACGGAGCGCCCGGAGCGGGGCCGACCGAGCGCTGGCACAGGGGCACCGGCGCGGCACGGCGGGATGCGAGACCCCCGCTCCCCTCGGGACACTCCCGCCCTCCCTGGGCGGCCCCGCCGCGCGGGCGTCCCGTCCCGTCCCGTCCTCCACCCCCCGACCTGGTATCGAGCTCCAGCGAGGCGTCCTGCGCATGGGCTGAGAAGCACTCCTTGCGGCCGGCGGGCAGCGTGAAGGTGAAGTCGCTGTCGAGGGAGGGGCTGAACTCGCGGCGCGGGCGGCGGCAGCAGCAGCGCGAGACACCGAGCGGCACCAGCAGCAGCCGCGGCGCCATCGCGGCCCCGACACGCCCGCGCGCTCCGCCGGGGCGGGACCAGCCCCCGCCCCGCCCCTTGCACCAATCGCACGCCGCGGCGCCCGCCCTGCGGCCGCCGCCCCGCCCACAGTGCCGCGGCCCCGCGCTGACCCGGCCCACAGCGGCAGGGCGGCGGGCGCCGCGCGTGCCCGTGTGACCGCGCGTATCGACGCGCGGCGGAGGCTCCGCGCGGCTGTGCCGGGAGAGGGCGGGGCCGCACCGGCACCGGGCTGGGCCGGGCCCGACACCGACACCGACCTGTTCGGGGCGGGACCTCCCTGCCGCCCCCGTCCCAGCGCCCCGTGCCTCAGCCCTTCCGCCAGCCCGGGCCCTGGCGGGGTTTCCGCGGCGCTCTCCGCCCGGCGCTGCCCCCCCCCGCGCCGCTCGGCGCTGCCCGTCCGCCCGAGGATATTTTGCTTTCGTTTGTCGTTTCGCTGGTCACTGGCAGCGAGGCAAGTTTTGCTCATTGGCGTGTGCGCCGTTCCCGTGTCGGACTCCCCGGGAGCTCCGAGGTCACCGCGCTGCTCTGTGTGAGGGACTTTTGGCAACTAATGTATAGCGGGCTTTTCCAGTTTTCCTGTATGACAAGTCGCGAAGCTTTTTGTGCTTCATGAACGCATACAGAACTCCTTTTCTCAAAAGAGGCAATTTGTACAGTTATTTTTATCCAGTGAACATGGGAAGAGGTAGTGTGTGAAATGTACCTTTACATTTGAAAATTTGTGTTTTCTCTTTTCTTAGAAAGAAAGACAAAAATATTTGCTTTTTTTTTTGTATTTTTGTCTCCTCTCCACCTTCTTTTGGTATCTTTAAAAATATCTTTGAAAATAATTTTCACGTATGTTTAACAGTGTTTTAATATTAAATATGATTTTAGCTATATGTGTGGTACCAATGGAATGTACTAGGTGGACTTGCTCTAAAAGTGGTACTGATGAAGATCTGCTTGCAAACGTTCAGTTATTACAGAATCAGCTGAGGAGAACTGAAAAAAACCTTCAAACAGTAGAGAAAGAGCTTTCCAGGTATGTGTGTGTTTGGGAATGAGAACTGTCTGTCTCTCATAGTGTGAATCTTGTCTTGTTCAGTGCAATGGATTACTGCAATTAGCTCCTTTTGTGCTTTCCGTTTGAACGGTCTTGAATAAACAACCCTAATAAGCAACTTAATAAAGAAAAACTGGAGCAGTAACTTTTCACTCTCCCTCCTAACACTAGTACAAATGAACATTACGGCCACTGCTTTGCTGAGGCGACAGACTTCGCTCTGGAGGATTTTGTACAACCTAATTATAACAGTCAAGGCTTTTCCAACCCCAAGAAGAATTGTGGTAAAACATCTGACCAAGATTTTCAAAGAAAACCCAAAGTAAATATTGCTCTTTATTACTTATTATTATTACTTTGGTTTTCTGATCTTTGCTATGTTTTTGGATGTTTTTTGGCTGGTAGGGCTTGGAGCAGATACACTGTAGCACTGGACAATGAAACCAATTGAGCACTCTTAAACATAATATCATTTCAATATGGTTTTTCTGCAAAGTTTCCATTAGGGCCTTTCAGTGCTTGAAGGAGGTTTATAAGAAAGATGGGGACAAAGTTTTTAGCAGGGCCTGTTCCAACAGGACAAGGGGTAATGGTTTTAAACTGAAAGGGGATCAGTTTAGATTAGGTGTAACGAGTAAATTTTTTACTATGAGGGTAGTAAAACATTGGCACCAGTTTTCCAGAGCCGTGTTAGATCCCCCATCCCTGGAAACATTCAGGGTCAGGCTGGACAGGGCTCTAAGCAAGTTGATGTGGTTGAAGTTGTCCCTGATCATTGCAAGGTGGTTGGACTAGATGTCCTTTAAAGGTCTCTTTCAACCCAAACTATTTATGATTTTATGATGTATATATTGCTTATGTATTCATATATAAGTGTGTGTATATATAAAAATATATTTTTGTGTCTAGTCTTACTCAGTATCCACAACTTCAGATAAAACTGTGGAAGAAAATGAACGTCTTCAAGAGCAAAATGCATCTTTGACTTCTCAGAACCACTACCTAAAGAACAGAGTGGAAACAATGAACTTTGAATTGATGCAGTCAAAAACAAAAGTATGTATCTTTAGCATATTCATCAAAAAGAAAAACAAACCCCAACCCCCCCAAACATCCCAATGACCATGATTTTTGAGTTTATAATTCCAAGCAGAATATGCTATTTTTTTATCTTATCTTAATCTAAGTTTAATATTTAATATGTATTTAATATTCAGTATTAATCTTGAACAGAATATTTTGGAATCTATTTCTCCATGGGCAAAACAACTATATTAATTATGAATTCTAGCTATTCATGTTCCAAAGTTTAGTGTAAAGCCAGTAAGCCATAGAATGAAAAACACATTATGAAAGAAAATAGTTCAGTATATGTATTTAGTACTGTACATTCACATGTCTAAGCTACATTGAGATTAATGTGAATAATAATGGCACAGTGGTCATTTGCAGAGGAAATGAAGAGTTAACCTCATTAATCCAAATTAATAAATTAATAAGTGAAGATGGATTAGAAAGAAATATTATATCTAATAAATCATTACTGATTTAGTATATACTTGTCTGTACAGGTTTGTTTCATGACAATTGTATTCTTGTATTTGGTTTGTATATAATGTTAAGAAAACAGAAGTATGCTTAGTGCTTTTCGTTTGAGAAATGTTATCTCCAGACAGAACAAATAAATAGATAAACAAAACATTTGACTGCCTGACACTGAAAGAAGAAATAGTTGAATATAAACTTTTTGGGAAAAGCAAGAGACTGGACATATAAAGAAATTCCTCTGCTAGACAGCATATCACATTGGAACTGGAAGGGATGTTAAATGAGCAGAAAATTGGAGGTCAGTTGGTGTAGATGAGCAAAGGTAATTTACAGTAGGGTTAAGAGCACTGTCATTCAGTAAGCAGATTGTTCTCAAGTGTATCACCTGAAGATATATATGCAAGTGTTAATGCACCCCCAATTATGTTTGTATTTCAGATTTCGTATCTTGAATCCACTTTAGGTACGCATTTATTCAGCGTTCCGAAGTTGAAAGAACAGATTTTAAACTTGGAAGCAGAAGTTTCAACTCAAAATAAAATTCTGAAGTAATAAGTGTACTTTTAAATCAGTGTTTTATTGTTGTCTGCTTGCTAGTCCAATCTCTTTTTTGGGATGACATAATTACTGGTACTGTGTGAGTCATGTAATCTGGGGTCTGAAACTTTCATTTCAGAGTCAAATATAGGAAGAGGGAGGTGATCTATTTTGTGTTGAATGTACTTCAAGAAATTCAGAAAAAATTATAAAGGCTGGTGGAAGAAACCAGGTTATAATGTGTGCTAAACACAAATATGCCCTGATAATTGAATAGAGGGATTGTGTGCTGCACGACTGCATATATTCTGTTGTAGCAAGCATACATATTTTCAAACATGATGGTGCACTTTGTGATATAAAGGGTCAGCCACCTGGGTCCTTGGCAGTTGTGACACCTGATGCCTATTGATGAGGTTTGGACACCAGACTGCAGACATACTGCTGGGGAGTCTGGAGACTGGGGGTATTCCAAGCCTAGTCTAGAGAGATGCAGCGTGTTTGACTAGTGCTTCTCAAACATCATGTGCAGAAAAGAACAACAGAAATCTATTTTCTTTACAAAAAAGTTCCTAATTTTTTTATTATGCTTTATTTGTTTGCTAGAGATGCAGAAGATAGGCTAGATCAAAACCGGAAAACAGCACTGGAAAGAGAAAACATGTTGCAAAGATATCAAAAGGGCTATAAAAATCTGAAAATGGAGTTAATTGAACGGAGCAAGCAAGGAAAGAGGTACTAAGTCATTTTAATAAATGGAATACAGAATAATAAGTGTGTGCTTATTTCCATTGATAGTTATTTATTTTGTGGAATCAAGTTACTTTTCTGCTTTAAGGATGTTATTTTTTAAAAAAGGGGAATTTCTATGTGAAGGTAGTGATTATTTAAACAGGCACATTTAAAATCTTGAAATTAGCTGGTAATTGCAGACTGATACTAGTAACCAGTTTATCAGCTGCTTTTTTCCCTTCAGGACAGATGTACTGCAGTGGAGAGCTGAAAAGTGTCCAGAATATATTTTTCCTGAATTATTTTTGTCTTTGTTTTGCAAGAACCTACAATCCATGCTCAGTATTCAGCAGTACTGAGTGCTGTGTTTTTGGGGTCGGTGCAAGGAAAATGATAAAGGCACAACATAATCGAGAGAACACTTTTGTTATCCTTAATCTTACCTGTCTATATGGTACTGTTGAAAAGGGTTCTGTAATTCTGTCTCCATCACTGTTTTCCTTTCCTATTGCCTCCTTTAGCCTAACAGCTCTGTGGCTACTGGGAGGGTTAGCTAATTTCTTATGACTGTTAGAAGTTACCATGTACAGTCCTGTCACTTCCAAAATGTCATTTTAAAAAAGTGAGAGGATTAAATAAAAAGATTCCTATCTACCCTATTCATTTAACTCCATTACCTGGGGCAAAAATTAACTGATTACTTGGGAAAGCATTTCTTGAACCTTTTGAATGCAAACTCTTTGTTTGGTTTGTGTATCTACCCATAAAATTACCTCTAACCTTCTTATAGCAAGACAAATGGAAATACTGTGGGGCTTGCACAGCTGGTTGAAGAAATGTGTTGCTTTATGATCACCATTCAGAGCATGTGGGGCTGGAACTACCTGTACTTAGTTACTAGTTGCAAATGTAAATATTTGGGTGCTTAAGAAAAGTTGAGCCTCTGCCAGGTGTTAAAGGCAAGTGTTATGGCTAGTGTTATTATTACAGTTTTCTTTTAATCATTAATTGCCACAACTTACTATTCTTTGGCCAGGGAAACTGAAGTGCTTTAGACTAACACTGTTTTGTTATTCTGAAATCCTTTTATACCCTTCTCTGAATACTTTTGCCATCTCCAGATGGATGGTGGTCCTCAGACTGAGAAACACTGCTCTGAGGGTTGGCCATACTTAGAGGAGGCACTGCCCCATGTCCACATCTCCCTTAGTGGAAGAGAGAAATGTTATTGAGCAGCAGTAATTCTTTGTGTGCCTGTGTTGGGTGTCCTGAACAGACTGCATACCTGAGGTTACTGCTCCAACTTCTTCCCTAGTGAGTAACAATAGGGGAAGGGGCAGGAGCGTGGTGATAGAGGGAAATACTAGGGATTGTTCCTTTGAGCAGTTTCTCGCATGATATCTATGCCTTGGAAAATTAGATGAGGAAAGGAAGTACCTGGAGCAATTACTTTAATAATTGTTTTTAGTAACTGGAGGAGATAGTTACATAATGGCTGGAATTTGTGGGTTTTGAAATTGGTTTGCTTCTTTGGCTTTGCAGAGCAGAACAGCAAAGAAATGAAGCTTTGTTGAATGTGAAGGAGCTGACAAGAGCTTTCAAAAAGTATAAAGCAGAAATAACTGAAAAATTAGAAAAGGTGAGAGTTTTTTCTTCACTAGTTTTTGCCATGTTTTTAAGATTTTTCATCTTACAATAAGCAAGGCAGCTAACAGCGACAGGTTCACCAGTGAGTCAGTCATTTCTGATTGTGAGTGGCAAAGTCCTAAGAGAGATGGGATAGGGTAAGCAACTATTTGTGGTGATAAATTCAGTTATACAGTTTTACACTGTCTTTGCAGAGTCTGGACAGTCTGCATCTTTAGAGTATCCTAATAGTGCTGTTGTTTCTTCTGTCCCCTGCTTGCCAGCTGGGAGTTTTACATTTTAAACATATAAGATCCTTTCAAAAGAACTCTTTTACTCTGTATGTTTAACCTGTTCAATGAAACATGAGCTAGAGGAGAGCTAAGATGAAGTCATCTCCCAAAGTTCCAGTGATCAAATTGGTAATGCTTCCTGCCTTGTGGGAGGAGAAAATACAGGTCTGAGACAGTTAACTCTGACTGAGATTTTTTTTTTAATTGGACTTCTTTCCACATGGAAGGAGATTGCCCACCATAAATATGCCCTAAAATATTAAATTAATTTTTTCCCAGATGACACAAGAAGAAAACTTCTTTGCCCCTTTTCTTCACAACAGTGAGCAATAGAATAATTTACAGACTTCCCAGAAAGGAAAAAAAGAGCATAGTGTTTATAGTATTCTTTTAAAAATAGCCAGTTGGTCATAGAAGCTTAGTTTATTGTTGTACAGTAATGAAAAAAATTGCTTTTTAAGGTTAAAGCTGAAGAATTAGTCTTGGGAAAACGTTTAATTAATTGTGAAAAAGAAAAAGAGAAGTTGAATGAAAAATGTATCAGCTACAGAAAGGATCTAAACATCCTAGAAGAGCAACTAAGGTAACGCAAGGGCTTTTAAAAATCTCTGTATGGTTTTTTGAGAAGGAATTGTGTGCTACAGTTGTCACTGTGAATGTGGTGCTCCATTCATGTAGTTCAAACCAATAATTTTTTCTACATTATTTTCTATAACTAATCTTTAAATGTTTTAATCCCACATGCTGCCACATATTCCCAGTAAGATGCCACCCCCCAAGCCTTCTGGGGACATTGGTTCCCTTGGTCACTCACTGCTGCCTGTGCTCTGTGGGTACTCTGGTTTCATGTGTGCCTGTGCTGCTGCCTGTGCCCTGCTAATGCTCCTACCCTGTGAGTTCCCTGGCTGGAGTGAAGGATACCCTTGGCATCCAATGGGGAGGCTGCACTCAGGCTGCAGTGGAGGTTTTGGTGCTGACTGCAGCTTCTGGAATGATCAGACCTGGCTTTGATGCTTTCTGTCACAACTCAAAAGTCCTTTTCCACTTACAATTTTTTATACTCCTTGTATGTTTTGTTTCAAGCTGAATGCCCCTTTTTTCAGCGGTCCTTTGTAATTCCCTCATGACTTTAATGAGGGAAGACAACCATGAGCTGGTTGTCTTTAGAGTTGTTAAGTTTGGACAAACACCTGCACAGACATTTTGGGGTATTCTATTTACATGCATTGTCCACACTCACATTCCTGTCTAAACCGTTGTTCTTTAGGCCATTTTGGCAAGACTGGGCAGTGTGTGAACACCCTTCCGTGAGTTTGAGCCTACTTGATAGGTCTCTGCTGATGATGTGTTGTTTTTTTTTTTCTTGACTGTTCTCTTTTTTTTCTGCTCAGTTACACCAGGTTTGGAACTCACCAGGGCCCTTGCTGAGCTAATTCAGTTTGGTAAACCAACAAGTACCTAAAAAAGTAAATAATTTGAGATGAGCTAAAAATACATTTGTCTCAGTGTACAAGCAGATATGAAGGGAGAAATGGGCCCCCTCCCTCTCTTGTTAGTAATAGAATGATAGAGTAACTCAGTATTTTCATCCATTTTGATTTTACATATTGTTATACACTTATTTTATCCTGTTCTTAAATTGCCCTGGCTTCTGCACAGTTAAAGCTGTTTGGTTTGTTTCCTACCAGTGCCTCTCCTGGCAGTGCTCAAAACTTCATGAAGTTGCTTAAGAAAGAGAAGTTGTTGACTCTCTCCTTTTGTTTGGTGATAACACTTTACATCTTGGTTCTTAGGAACAGTGAAAGCTTAGTAAAGCAGCGAGAACTTTTCTGTCCTTTGTATAGAGCTAAGCCTAGATTTTGAGAGGGAGGAAACTAGTAAAACTGCAGCTATGGTGTGTTCTGGTACTTCTAATAATGAAAATCCTCTATGTTGAGCTATATCTTTTAAATGCCTTTTCAGGCAATTAAAGGAAGAGAATAGTAGCACAAAAGAAGAAATTAAGACTCTAGAGGCAAAGAACGCTGAAATTACATCAATGCTGAGTCGGTCTGATCAGAAGATCATCAAGCTTGAGAGTGAACTTTCTGAAAAAGAAAATGTGCTTAAAGAGCAAAATGCTCTAATAAGTGAAAATGCAGAGCTGAGAGCACTTACTGCACAGCAACATAACCACTTGAAATTATGTCATCAAGAAATTGAGAATTCAAGGGAAGAGCTCAACATACTAGAAACCATTATTTCTCAGTTGTCTTCAAGTACATCTGAAGAGGTACAGTAACAAATACAGACTTAGAAGTGTATTATGTGTTGAATAATTTTAAGAATCAAGTTATCCAAACTTTTAACATTCTGGTATATGTGTCTTAAAATTTATATGCTGGTATAATACCTTAATTAATCATGCTGTGAAGCAATATAAAATTGATTTTTCATTGATCTTTGTTTTCCCTTAACTTTTAGTTTAAATGGCACCATTTCAAACACCAGCTTTTGAGTTCCTCAACAAAAGAAGTTATTTCAGAGTCTTGTGGTGAATCAAGTAAACCTTTGATTGCAGACCTAAGGTATAACTTTCTGGTTACTGAATTATGTCAAGAATAGGCAGATAATAAGGTGGTGTTAGAACTAGGATATAGAAAGAATGTTGAAGTTGTCTTCTCCTTTATAATAGCATTAAACTGTCAATGAAAGAAGCTGAAATGCAAAAGCCTCGTGCAAACTTAACTATCTGTACTGGAGCTGAGCATCTGTCTAATGATAATGAAGGACAAGAAAATAGCAGGTCATGTGGCCTGGAAACAGAGCCTGTCAAATTGATCAGAAGTCAAGGAGGTAAGCTTTCTGAAATAGCTGTGCAGTTCTGTCTGATTAATCCACAGAACAGAAATGTTCTGGTGGGGTTTAAATTGTTTTTATAGTTTTATTTTTTAAATGTACCTCTGTGAGCTATGAGGCATGGTTTGGTTGAACAGTGAGCATTTTGCCACCTTGGAAACTGTCATGTTCTCCAGGCACAATATTCTTTCTTTTGCTAGTTAAGTTACTTGTTCAGCAATAGCTAAGGTAGGAGTTGTACTGAAATGGAACCATGTATTTCTCTCTTTATGCAGGTTATGCTAAGGTCTTCATATTTTTGTTGATGCTTTTCTCTGTAACCTGCTGTTGCAGTATTTCTGCCATTGCTTCTGTGATTATTATCAGGACTGCTCCAAGAAATTCCTTCAGGGCACCTAATGATGCTGTCTTGGTTTCTTCTTGTTTGTTTGTTGGGGGCTTTTTCATTTGTTTTCATGAGTCATAGTTTTCAGTTACATTACAGGTTTGTATGTACTTGTATAAATTAATCTTAGATTTATTTTTTTCTACTTTGAGAGAGGAGAAAATGCCAACAGTTGGAACTTATAAGCAAGCAATTTGAAAAGATGAGGCGAAGATTCCAGAAAGAGATAGAAGAGTTACGCACTAAACTGACAAAAGCAGATGATGAAAATTCTTCTTTGAAGAGCAGCATGGCTCAAAGGACCAGCCAGTTTCAAATCATACAGGAAGACCTACTGAAGAAGGCTTCAAAAACTAGTAGCTTAGAGAAAGAAGTAAGTTTTTAGCAGCACTGAAAAAATGCCACTACTTCTTCATTTCAGTAAGCAAAGATAGTGAAGACAATAGTTATTGTCTTCAATAACTGTTAACTGTAATTGCCGTATTAATTTTAAAATCTGATTTATTTGAGAAAAATCTGAATTAAGTTTTCAGCAAGCAGAAAAATTTAAAGATAGAAGCCTCAGTTTATTAACTGTTGGAAATATGGTTTTAAAACTGATGTAGTGGTGGGCTTCTCTACTACTACTTTGATTTGTTATGTGGAAACTATGCTCAGTCTCGTTTCTTTGGTATGGTTTAATTAATGTGTAATCTTAGGAAATAGATGTTGAAATACACTTGTATTTTTCCTTATTTAATGTTAGTACAGTTGCCAGAGATAAACATCATTACCAGAGAGTCACAAATGAAAGAAATTAGGCGTCAGCTCATCTCAGGTTGAATAAGTTAAAATACTAATGTTTACATTCTGATGCTAATGTGTTTATAGAGTTTGGCATAATGGGATTTGAAGTATTTCCTAATAATGGACATAAGTATTATAAATCTGTAGTAGCTATTTTGCTCACAGTTATCATTAATTGGATAAATTTTAGGTAAATTGTCCTGAATCTTTCTCTTTAAATAATAAAATTTAATAGATCGACAAAACAAACGATTAATTAAAAATGCTATAGTAGTACCTAAAATGGAACCGGTGATAAGAAAGTATATACAAATACTTGAATAAACCCCTAACAGTTGTTTACATGCTGTTTAGTGCCATGTTTAATTTCAGATGAGAAAGAAATCTTCTCAACTTTCTGAACTTGAAGAACAGTTGGAAGAAAAGACTATTGCTTATTCCACTGCTGCAGCAAGAAATGCTGAGTTGGAACAGGAACTCATGGTAAAATGTTCTCACCGAGAAACTATATGTAAAAAGACAAGTGGAGATTAAAGTTTAACTTAACAGTAGTATTCAAAATGGATAGACTTTCAGATCTGCTAAATAATCTGTGCAGTTTTTAGGGTATGCAGACTTTAAAAACTGAATCTTGTTTCAAATAAAACATTCCTTTTTCCCTGCCTTTGAATGTGGTAAGCTATTAACGGACATGTTACTTTTTCCTTATATGTGCAATGAAGATCTGGTCCTATTGAAGTCAGTTGTAGCATTGCCGTTTGTTTCAGTGAAATACATGTAGATCTGTGACTAAAATAGTCTTCAAAATGCTGTTTTAAATGTGCCATCTCTCCATGGGAGGGTAGAATTTCTTTTTATCTTTGTCAGAAGTTATCTATGCCATAGTCCACCTTGGCAGACACCTTGTCTCTGTAGCTGCTGCTTCTACTGATCTTCTCTACCTGTGTTACAGGTGTGACATCCTTTGAGATGACACATGCAGCGTGTAACTTCAGTATTTTCTGTGTTGTTCTTTTACAAAATCTAGAAACTAGATGATCAAATAAACTGCTAATATCACAAAATATTTTTATTAAGTCTTTCTATTGTTGCCATTTCCCAGGAAAAAAGCAGACGCATTCATGAGTTGGAAGCAACTATCAGTGAAGAACATAAGAAAATAAATTCTGCTTTTGAAAATGCAAAGTTGGTACACCTTGAGCAGCACAAAGAGATGAAGAAACAGATAGAACTAGTAAGACCTTGTGTGCTAGTATGTATGAGTGTTATACTTGGTAACTTTTTCCTATGTTAATTTCTTTGTCTTTCTTGTAATTGTGAGACACATCCATTTAAAAAGTTATATTAAGAAGTTCATTCTTCTCCGTAGGTTTCCTGATTTTACTACATTTTCCATCTAACTCTACACAACTGTCCTTCTGAAATATTCATATCCTCTTTTCTGCTCAACTAAAGAGAAGTAAGGACTTAGGAAGAGTGCTGTTGTTCTTTGCTCCAAACAAAGCAAAAAAAAAAGTATAGCTTTATTGCCTACTGGATTTAAACCATGACAGCTTCTAACAATGTTTTCTTGTTGGCTGAACCTCTGCCAGCCTGAGCCTTATGAGCATCTGTGTTCAGGGAGAATACTTGGTAGGTTTTTCATTCTTTGAAGAAGAATTCTGTTGCTTTATGTGATTAGAAATATAACTGAGGCTATTTCTAGCTGTTCAAGAAGCTTGTCATCCTTTACTAAAGAATGTATGCGTGTCTTGGCTGATGACAGATTATTGCACTCTGTCTGCTCTCATTCTCTTGATTCTCCTCTTGATTTAAGACATTAAGAGTTTGGGATTTCTTGATAATTTTAAGACTGCAATACTGCTGATGGCAAGACTGTATTTACTTTTCATTAGAAAAGTGATGGGTGAATAGAACTGAATGACATTTAGATGCAAAAATTCTTATCTAAGTAATAAATTGTGATTTACTTATGGACAGCTTCAGACACAGCTGGAGCAGAAACATCAACAATTCATTGAACAAGAGAAAATAATATCTGTTTTACAACAAGAGGTTATACATAAACAGCTTCATTACATTGAATCATTGGATGGGCTGCTGATAGGAAGCAGAGAGGTAAGGTTGGCTCTTGACTTTCTTTAAATGCAAATTGAACAAGTGACTAATAATAATGAAAAGCACATCCATAAATACATGGGAAAATTGGAGAAAATTAAAGATGCTTATGTTTTTGCTTTTTAATTCTTGTTTGACTAATTGACTGAATCTAGTGTAGTCACCAGTTACTGCTGCTACTACTGTATATTGTACAAACTTCAGTGGCCTTTCATTTTTTTCTATCTCAGCATTCTCTTTATGTCTGTGGTTTGCCCCTTGGGCTTCTTGCTCTGATCAAAGGAAACAGATTTGGATAAAGAAAAGTTGCATCTATTCTGCACTAGGTGGAAAATCAAGAATGTTCTAGTCTGATAATGCCTGCTCTGCAGAATATGAAGGGACATCTGTCAGGAACCAAATTTACTTCAGAGTATCATGTACACAAATACATTATAGAAGCAATTGTGTTTTAAATACACTGATCTGGGTTTTTTCCCTTGATTCTTAATATGAGTTTTTATTAAATTACTTTTACTATATTTACATTTTGTTCTCTTGAATAAAAATATGTGTACAAACAGGAAATGGAAAAATCAAAATGCCAAGAAAGATCAAGGATTGAAGATGCTGGGAAGTCACTTAACAGAAGAAACAATTAAAGTTAATAAGTTCTTTGTTATTTTCAATTAATAGTTTTGAAGTTTGCAGTAATGGTGTATTTCCTTTTATCCTCTATAGAAAAAATTTTTTATAGAAATTTGTCTTAGGTAAATATTTCAGAAGTCATTGACCTGAAGTTTTTCCATTTTTTTGCTGTTGTTTCTTTTTGGTTTAGTTTCTTTTTTTTTGATTAAAACAAGTATGGTGAAACCTACAGTAAGGGATCATGCAATGCATAATTGCTTTATAAAATTATTGTACTTACAAATAGGACAGACTTGTGCTTATTGTACTCTCAAAGTACAACTTTGTCTAACAGAACTAATGTTATGTATCTTTTTTGTCTAGATATGGCATATATTTTAGATATATATGATGCTATAATATTGGTCACGTTTTTAGCCATCTATGCCTCTTCCTAGTGTTTGCCTGATAAATATTTTCCATGCAGCACTTTCAACAGTATCTTAATGAACCAGTGCCATGTGGTGATTTACCCCAGTGAGGTTTCAAACAGTATTAAACCTCCAGGATATTGGCAGGAGAAGATACTGGGGTCTCAGCTGTTAGCATGCTCTTTCTGAGCTTGTGTTGGACCTGTTTGCTATCCAAGTGGCTTTGCAGTATTTGGGACGTTTTACAGAGATTTAAAATTAAGACCCATTGTAATTTCTCTTCAACAAACTCTCGAATGGAGTGGGGAGAGAGAGATATACAGTCCAGTGTGATTTAGAAAACTGGTAGTCTGATTGCAAAATGGAAAGCGTCAGCCAGTCTGCAGCTAAATTCAGCACAGTTCTCATTGATGAGAAGTCTTAGTATTGCAACCAAATGGTTAAGAAAAGCTTAATTACTATGGCTCAAGACCTTTGGGGGTTTGTTAATTATAATTTTTATCTGTTTGAGGTTATAAGGTATTTTTTAGAGAGACTCAAATTCAAATTAATATTAAAAGGGTAAAGCAGATTAACAGTGTTGACATTGCTCAGAGCTCTTCCTTTCCCTTTTGGTGAAACTCTGGCCCTGTCTCCCAGTGCAGAAAGGGAAAACATGCTGTTAATAACTTTCTCAAAAGAAGTGTATCAAGAATGTTTTTTTTGTATCTGAGTGTTATTTTTGGAAAACATGTTGTCAGCTCACATATGATGATAATTCCAAATTTATTTATATAGTTCTGTATATAACAACCTGTGATGGATTAATGATTTGGTATTGGGCATATGTCTGCTTTTAAATTCTAGCTACTGACAAATATTGGAATATCTTCTCGTAACTGATAGTCTCATCTTGTTTAAACACAGTCTAAAGTACTGTAATTGAATTTCACAAATAATTTTAATTTCTGAATACTATTTCAGTTTTAAAGTTTATCATAATCTTCCATGACTATTTCAATACTCTTTCGATAAAAATGTAGCTTTTTGGACATTTTATACGAAGATGACTTTTAATACAATTTTTAGACTAGCTGATACAGACCATGCCATGCAATTTTAAGTGATCTATTGCATCCAACTAGGAACAACAACTCGAGTCAGCATTAAAGGTATGTGAGGAAGAAGTTGTAATGTATTTGAGTCAGTCACAAGAAAATAAGGAGGTGTTTGAAAATCAGCTCAAAGACAGGTTTAAAGAGGTAACAGCTTGTTTTACAACTCTTCTGTATTGCAGAGAACACTTGTTATGATTGATTTAATCTGAAAGTTTGTAAAATAACAGCGAAAACATTTGCAACAGGAGCTGTGAATAGGAAGTAAGCTGGGAAAAGATGATGCATTTTGTGAGGGTAAAGGGGAAAAATCATACTTAAGGAACACTGGATAAGCTTAGGGAAAAGAAGCACCCAGATAAATGAATTGTTGAAAGAAGTAACAAATCAGAATTATGTGAAACAAAGCATTCTCTTGGGGAAAAAAATGGAGGGAGCAGTATTGCAATATAAATTTAGGTGCATATAATTGATTTGTCCTTCAACTATCTTAATGGGGAAGAAGTCCTGGGCATAAGAAAATGTTTACTTCAAGCCCCAGAGTTTTATCATACTTTCCACTACTACATGAAAGCAAGAAGGAATTGAGTTTAAATATTAGGATGAATTTTTCTTTGTGAGTATGCCCAACCACATGAACTAATTATATAGTAGGCTCTTCATGTCAGTGCTGACCTGCTGAGAGAGAGGCTTCGGTCAAACAGAGATTGCCAGACCCTGAAATTAAAAATCTCTTATGTATGTTCTTAAAACATTGACAAGCTATAATTAGAAAGCAAGAATCAAAAACTGGGACTGCTAAGTTACCACTATCCTAACCTACTTTATAAAGCACAACTCAGGGATGAATTATGAGGTCTGTTATGTACTGTTGCAACTTTAATGCAACTAAATTCAGAGCCAGAAGTTCTATTGAATCATAGATGTGATTCTGTGCTCATTAAGAGAGAATAGCTATGCAAGTGAAAATAAAAATAGTTTATTTTAATGGAAAATAAATGTCTTTTCAGCTTCATTATTTGCAGAAAGAAATAAAAATAAAAGATCAGAATATTCAGGACACGAGTGAACAAACTGTTCTACAAACTTTGCTTCATCATCAGCAAATGTTACAGCAAGAAACTATTAGAAATGGGGAGCTGGAAGATAATCAGATTAAACTCGAACAACAGGTACAGTATGGTGAGAAGTGTCTACGTAAAGAGAGAAAATTAAATGCCTTTAGATATGTTTTTGTAATACCTTTAAAATCTGAATGTTTCTTTGATAACTGAGTTGATAATTATGATTTTAGATATATCTAAAATAAAGAGTTTAGTGGTCTGTTTTATCTTAAACCAGGTTCTGTGCTATCAGAAATGCTAGCTCGCATTAGAGTGGCTAGGTACTTTGAAAATCAAACCCTAGACTGCAATTAAGGAGAGGTGCATTTAAATTCAGAAAGTTGTCTCTTGTTATATTTACTAGAAACTATTTGTCTTTCAAATGTGCAAAGTTCTAGTCTTAAATTATATATAGACTATAAAGACATCTGCTGTGTTAAACCCCTCATTATGTTATGTGAGTTGCAAGACAAGGCAGTATGTTTCTTTGGAATGCAATTTAAAAGTACTCTGAATACTGTTTGCCAGGTATCCACTTTGGAAAAGGAGCTTCAGAATCAGAAAGCATGTGCAGCAGATGAGTTGAGAAAGGTGGAGGAGAAACTTCGCTTTGCTGCTCAGGAAGCAGATTTAAACGGACAGAAGGTGGATGAACTGAATTGTACAATCAGGTAGGTTCAGTGTAACAGAGGGATGTTCTGCACAGAGACATGGATCAGCAAGATTGCTGTCTGAAATGGTATTCAGCTCTGTAGTTACACACTTCAGCCTCTGTATGAGCATAGACTCGAATTCAGAAGGGAAGCTTCTAAATAGCAGAGGCATGAGTTTCTGGAACAGTTTTCCAGTCGAATTAATGCATATCCTGGCAACTTATTTAGCCTTAAGATGGCACTTCATGATGCAGTTCAATTCATAAATGTATCAACTTGCTTGCAATTGTAGATAGTATATTCTAGGGGAGCTTGCTAGTCTTAAAGAATATTGTTTTGATTGCAAGAAAAGCCTACTTAACATGACTTTTTATTTCTGTTTTATTCACAAACCCTTGTCTTAGAGCATGTAAGGGTATACACATGTTGCTTTTATTACATGGTTCATTTTTTTCTGGTTGCTTCTATTAGGCAGATTAAATTGGAGATGGATCAGTGCAAGAATGAACTTATTGATATGGAAAAAGAAGTAGTGCAATTACAGCAAGATGGTGAAAACAAAACAGTGCAGATAAATCAGTTGGATATCACTTTGGAAGAAGCAAGATCAGAGCTCAATAAAAAGGCAAATGAGGGTAATTGGGCTATTTTGTTTCTCAGGCTTCCTTTCATTATGCTATTTCTGTTTATGTATTAGACATTTTTCCATTTCCCCCTGTTTTATAATCAAGTACATGAGAGTCAAAAAATGATAATTTTTTTAATGTATTAGTAATTCCATAGTTAAAAAAACCTGAACAAACAAAGCCAAAACCAACCAAACAATACCCCCACAATGCAAAAAAATCACAAGCTTTTTTTTAACATACCTTTGCAAATTCTCACTTCTGTGGTATATACCTTTACCCCAGGTGAAATGAATAAGTAGTTTCCCTGTAAATTAGCAATGCAGATTCTTACTGTGATAATCAAATGAGGCACATACATTTCATAAAGGCATATGCTATTCACAAAAATTCAGCTCTTTAAAAGAAACAGAAAATCTCACAAGGGAGTCTGTGGAAATAAACTTTCCAATCCATTCTCTTCCATTTAATTTAATTGTACCATTGTTTTAAACCAGAGGAATACCAGCAATTCTGCTTGCATTTTTCATAGCACTGCATATTCAATTACTATATTGTCCCTGCACTTTCTCCTTGGCCAGATGTTTTTAGATATATCCTCATATTTCAAGTCATGAATTGAATGAAAACATAGCAAAGACTTACATGCCATAGGAAGGCTTTTGAATAAGAAGTCACTGTTTTTCTAGATTGTCCTAAAAAATACTGATACTGAAAATTTATTATGACCACAAATGCTACTAGGTAGTGGTGTTGCATAAAGACCCTGGCGTGCTGATGATTAAGCATTTTGTCTTTTGTGGTGTGTGTGTAAAATAGTGAATGATTTAGAAGATAAGCTGCTTCAAAGTGAGACTTGCCACAGGGAAGCCTTACAGAAAATAGCAGAACTAGAATCTGCATTACACAATGCCCGTGGAGAATTAAAAATCACTTTAACACAGCTTCAGGAATTGCAAGATGCATTACAGAATGCACAGTCCTCTCTGGAGGAGAAGCACATTGCTATCATGGAGCTAACAACTGAGCTCAGGTAAGCTGGTATCTTTTCCATCATGAAAACTTACCTGTGTTAATTTTTCCTTAGGAATAGCAAGTAGCTTGGATGGCTTTTTTCTAATGTTCTTAACAGCTCTCTATAATTTTTAGGTGCTTTTCAGCTGTAAGATAAGTTGATACTTGAGCTCCTCAGCTCACTTTTAATTTCTAAAAGTGGTGCTGAATTCTTTTTTAGGAATTCTATTTTAAAAACTGCTAAAATTATTTTCTGAATCCCAAAGCTGTGAAGTAATTGTACAAAGAATAATGAAATTTTCTAGTTTCCTTTCTGACCACAAATTAATGGTGCTTTCTTCTGTACTATTCTTTTTTAAGAACATGTTTTCCTGATATAGCCAATTAAATAACTTGAATAATGAAGTTGTTGGGCAATCTCCACCTGGAATATAGTAAACAGAATTATTCCATTTGGGTTTGTTTCTTTGCAATCAATTAGTTGATTCATGTTTAGGGTAATATGGCTGTAAGTAACAGAGCTAATGATTTCCAAGCTGGATACATGAAGCTAAGCAACTGAATGTGCATTAAGCAATTAAACATATGAGAATTTCAGGTATTGCAAGGGTGAAGTTGAAGACAAAAAACAAGAACTCCTTGAAATGGACCAAGCACTGAAAGAAAGGAATTGGGAACTGAAACAAAGAGCAGCTCAGGTCAGATTATTTTAAGTATGTTACTGACAATTGGTACTGTTATGTAGTAGATAACTTATGAAAAGCCTGCTAGGTTTGGTTGCTTTGAAGTATTGTCTCAAACTGTACTGTTACTGTAGCCACGGAGTCAAGCTCAAAACCAGCTCGGTGTTACTGAAGCCTTATGGTACCAGGAAAATCAGGCTGTGCTCCCCTAAGGGACACAGAGTTCTGGTTTAAGGAAACAGAAGCCTCATGCAAACCCTTCATTAGTTCTTCATTAGTGATAAAGTTATAAGACAACTGTTCTCATCTTGATGTTTGGTAAGAGGAAGAAAGAGCTGTGCTGAAGTGTGCTTGGAGATGATAGACTCCTTTCCTTGTTTGCACTGGAGCATGTTTGATTAGCTCTAAAGCAGCCTCTAAATATGAAATGGTGTCTTGGTTGAGAATACATTTCTGTAGCTCACTTGAAATATTTTCAGTCTTTTGGTCTGGCTTCTTTGATGCCCATCATGGGAAAATTCTTTTTCTGCCACTTATAATTAGCCTCTTCCTGCAGGAGTTACTAGCCTTTGTATTCAAGAATATTTGAGGTTCAGAGAGGAGGAGTGGAGATTTGAATAAATCTGTTTAAGCAACTGACACTGTAAGGAGGCCAGATCTTGCAATATATTTTTGCCACAGTATCCTGTGAGCTGCTCCAGGAATTCATCAAAGCTTTTGATGAATTGATGGTTTTTTTTGGTTTGGCAAAATCTGTCACTTTCTAACAAGAGGGATTTGTATAATTACTCATAATATTTATTTTAAAATGAGATATAGGCTTGTATTCTGTGTATATGAGGACCTAACATATTCAGTTATGGATTTTTTTCCTGATTTTCCCCTTTTCTTTTTATGTTTGGCCACTATTTTTTTAAACAACATAGCTAGGGTGCAGTTTTATATTGACTACTCCAGAGGATACTCTTGAGGCTACAAAGGATTAATTTCATTCATTTTGCTGTCATAGTTTGTAATATTGCTTCTTAAAATCTATATACTAATTCAAAATAAAATATTTCCTTTTCTTCCTTTCTTACCTGTAGATTACACAGCTGGATATGACAGTTCGTGCATATAGGGAAGAAATGGAACAACAAATAATTCAATTACAGTGCAATTTAGAAAAGTCAGAGTTGGAAATCAAGGAATGCAATAAAAAGGTAATTCTCACTTAATTAAAAACAGTCTCCCTAACAAAGGGCAGATAATTTTATGAGAAAGTCTGGTCCTGGGACACAATAGCTGGACAGGTTTAATCTAGAAGATGAAAACTGGTTTCTTATTATAGAGAGAGGGAAGGCAGTACTTTAATTATGTACCAGCAAAAACACTTCATTTGTCAGTTGAAACAATAAATTTTGCAGGGATATAACAGTGCAAAAATGAAAACTTATTTTTTCACTTGATATGATATAGCTCCCAAACTGCTCTTTTGGTAAAGGAACATGTTGACAAAATAAAAAATCGACAAGGGAATCCAAAGTCAGTGGTAAAACTGATGGTTATTTGTGAGTTTTCTTTGTTTTGTGGTTTGGGGTTTTTTTTAAATCATTCTGACTTTGGTAAAATATCAGTTCTGATTTAATTGCATTTTCTGTTCAGATTGAGAGCTTAGAGAAGAAACTTCAGCATTCTAAAGATCAGCTTCGTGAAAAAGAGTTTGAATTGCTCCAGAGAGACCAAGAAATAAATCAGCTGAAGAAAAAAAAAATCAAAGAAAACAACATAGCCTAGAAGCTCTTGAAAAGGTAAAATGTACATAACAAATTATCAATTTTTAATGCCATTACTGTACCTGCCTAGAAGGAACTATACAGTGTCTCTTAAGCATAAGTGTCATTAATTCTCCCAGAATCATTGTATTTTATATCCTGGTGTTTGCTGAATCTTAATCCCCTGAAGTTAAACCGGTTTAGTTATTTAAAAATTACAAATTTAATGGCACACTCTTAATTGTCTGCTTTCTGTGGAGAAATTTGAATACTGATTATCTTTAGTAACCCTGTTTTCTGACTGTGGACAACATGGTCTTCCTTGAAATGAAACAAAACAAAATGCTGTATAATGAGGGCTTCTCATGATTTAGGTACTATCTTGCAAAAATTATCGCATCCAAAGAGCCCTGATATGTGGCACGTTTATAGGAACCAGAAGTGAGAGTTTTTTGGCATAGTGAATGGGAGCATATGGATAGAATAAACTTTATAGATGACTTTATGAATTATATAAATCTTTGGTTTGGTGCATGAATCAGTCCCTACAAATATAACTGTGACCTGAGATAAGTAGGCTTTGTGCAGATGATTGCCAGCTAGAGGTAAACTGCAAAGCCCCAACAGCTCCTGCTACTTTGGTTGTGCTGCATTTGTGTGTTTCTTTTCCCTAGGGTGAGATATCAGAGAAGGCTTATTTCTGTGTGGTCACCAAAAGCATTTGGTCTGCATTCTACATCATGGAGGCTTGGCAGTGTAACAGCTGAATCTGAAGGTTGTTTCACTGCCAATTAAAGCAGTGTCAGCTCTCCCGTCTTGTTTTCTGTTAGGTTGTTTATGACACTCGAGAACAGGACAGTGACTGCTACTACCATACACACATATCATTAACATATTTCCAACTTTTCCTAAGGGATGATTCTGAAGGAAAGAATTTCCTAGCTAGCCCCTGTACAACTGCTGACTAGACCCTTTCTTTCCAGACAAATTGCCTTGTTATTGTTTTTCCTAAGGAATAGCAGGTAGGGAGAGGCCTTAGAATGATATAAGAAAGGCTTTGAAAATAGACCTACTCCAGTCATGTTCCTTTAGAGACTTGGGATGAAGGAAAAGAAATTTTAAGTTTATTTTCATTGTAATGAGGTGGATAAAACACTAGATTTTGGAAGCATTCTGCATAAAATACAAAATACAATGCAGAGGGCTTCTGGCTCCACTTAGAATATGATGTGGTTCCTTCTTTGTTTAAAAATTGTGTATATTAACATGATATAAGAAAACACTTTCCCCATTAGTAACACATTGCAGACTGACTGACCAGTCTTCCACAGAAACTTTCTGTCCTAGTTCTAAAAACTCAATTGCCTAATTTATCTAGGGAAAAGGGGTAGGGGCTGTGTGTGTCTGGCCCAGGGGAGTAGTCTGCCTCATTCTTTTTCCTCTTAATACACTACTTTGTCTGCTTATTACAGAAAATATATTAGTTCAGGGAAGGAATTGCTAGAGAGGGTTGATTTCTATCCTAGTCCACTCTGCCCCTTTGGGACTCATGAAATAACCAGGTCACAGATTTTTCGGTTGAATCGTTCTTTGTTCTTACTCTGCTTCAATCTGCAGCGAGGGTCTTGTAACAATTCAGCACTCTGCTACCCTTCGAAGTTGTAAGTATTCCAAATAAAGGAACTGAAAATACCTTAATGAACATTAAGAATGGGTTTTTCATTTTTCTGGGAAATTGAAGTAATTTCCTTTATTAAAAAAAAAAGAAAGGCAGATTGGACTTATAGCAAACTAATTTTTTGTGACCCCAGTTTCTTCTGATATGAGAAATGAAATTGTTTAAAAACCTAATGTTAATGTAAACATGGCTGCTGTGTATCATATACTAAAGAGACTGAATGCTTTTTCTATAAATGAACTGTTGAATAATTAGATCCACCATGTAAACTTGTTTTTTGAAGCAGGGGTGGGAGGAAGCTAAAGCTCTAGAAACAAAAAAACCCCACCCAACCTCAAACACACTGTGTTTGGCTGCATTTATTTCTATGTACTCTAGAAAATCCAGTTTACATTCACGTTGCTATTTTTCTTGCTTTGTGCTGGTAAACATCATAAGCTTTCTTCCTTTTGATACCTTGATAATGTTGATGGGGTTTTTACAAACACTTCCTGAATTATTAGAATTTCTGGTTGCTAGGAACTTAAACACAAATGAAATCCAACATGAAACCTTAAGCCTTACACAGAGGAGCAATTTCAAAAGACAGTGCTCCTTTAAACTGTACAAAATTTTTACAGGGATTTGCATATGAAGATTTCTTAAAATATTCCACATAACATTTTCCTACTTATCTGCTAGAACTTAGTATGTGTTGGAAAATTTGTAAATTGTGCTCATTTGGAAAGCAAATGTACTTCACTTACAAGAACAGTGGACAAAAATGCATTAATAATGTCAGTCTAGGGGTCAAAATTTGAGAAAGCAGCCATGGACTTGAGACCTGCTGTTAGTTTTCTTGAATTTGTAAAATAAATCTTAATAATGAAAAGTAATATCTTGTTACAAATTGATTTAGAGATAATAATTTGAATGCAGAAGTTTAAAGGAAGGTTCTGATCACAGATACTTTGTTTCAGGGGCAAGAACTGTGAAGAAATGAATGTTGCCCATTGGACAAGCAGCAACCCAGGAATGCTACTGCTGGCATCATTATTGTGCATTCCAAGAGGAAATGTTAATGTTGTATTTCTAAAGAAGGAATGCAGTTATTTGTACTGAAGCAGATGATACCCTTTTTATTTTTCCAGCTGTTTTTAAGATTATTGCCTTGATTTAATAACATATTAATTTATTTTTTCATACTTTAAAAAAAATTATTTCTCTTAAGTTGTAGGAATTAATTTCAGCTCTTGTCTTTTTCCAAGGATTTTGAATGGTGTACTTGTTTCGTATCTCACTTCTAATTAAAAACACAATGGTATTATTAAGAATTTTTGTTTGGGAATATTTTATCTTCTTTTTTTGTACATATGCAGTGTTGCAGACACAACATCTTATTAAAATTGACCTGTTTGCAAGATGTTTTAGGACACTGATTTGATCACAGACACTGGGAAAACCTGCTTGCTTTATTCCAAGCAGTATCTTTAAAATGCAAAGGAACAAGGCCATAAAGCTTTCTGAGCTTTGAGCTTTTTTTATTTCTAACAAAAATCCCTACAAAAATTATCATAGATTAAAATGGCATCATAATTATGCATTCTAAAACATATTTATTTCCATTTTTCCAAAAGTACTACACAATTTAGCTGTACGAATGCCTGGTGGCTCCACTTTTATATTTATATGAGCATCAGAAACTGCAAATGTGGTTATGAGGCCTCAATCTGAGTCTGAATAATGCATACATGATTTATGTGCATTAAGACGTGATTCATACTTCAGAAAATCAAGTTAATAAAGTTACTTGACTTGAGGAACAGAATTGAATGTGTTGCAATTTAAATCCTAGGCCTCAGTTAAGTGTTTTGTACATTAAAAGTGAATCTTGGCCAACAAATATATCTATTGTGTTTCTGCAACTCTGCAAGTGGTCCTGTGCCAAAGTCCTTGGGCAGTCATAGGCCTTTCATTGTTTATGTAAACACGTTCCACAAATGCCACACTCTAAGTGGTTCTACAAAACCAGCCACACATTCTGCTACCATTGACAAGGTCAAGATACACTTATCTAAAATATTTCTGCAGTTTCAGATTATTTAATCTGCTATTATGAAAATTATGATGTAGCGAAAAATACTGTTCCTTACAGAAATATATTGCGTGTTTTACATCAAGCTGTACGTTTCTCTACATAATAGTAAAGGAAAAACATTAGAATTAGGTTGACTGGTGTAACAATTGCAAATTAAACTATTATTTTTTCCTCTTTAGGCACATCACTTTGCCTTCAGGCTAGAATTCTATGCACCAAATTTCAGACAGATTTTTTTTAAAGCAGTGGAACATATAAGCCCTTCAAACCAGGATTTCAAGTGGAAAATACAACCAATCTGTAATTACAGCTGCATCACAACACTAGTGGAATTCCACTAACTAGCATTGCATAAAGCCTCGCTTGCTCCTCCTACATGCACTAAATATAAATGTGCATGAGCAGCAAAAGCAATTTGCCTAATCTCTGAATCAGCTAAATAGCATTTGCACTAAAATTTTGTCTGTATACTAACTTATGTGGTTAAACTGTGGGTCAAACCTGATAAATAAGCAGAATCATAATTACGTTTTCTCTGTTTAGATGTTGTGCTATTTTATTGCTTGCCTGAGAAGTTAATGATTCCACTTATACTGTTCAAGTCAATTTATTTCTTTTGGAAAGGATGGAGTTGGGTTTTTTTAAACATAATTTCAGTTAAATGTTTCTGTAGGGTCCTACTTTTCTTGAATTACTAATGAATTTACTTCTCTGCAAATCCTGGAACACTAAGTTCATTTTTCTGAAGTGCATTGCATCACATGGGATTGCTGAGTCTTGGAAAACATTTTACTGGGGCTAATGGCATTGCAATTAGCTGAATGCTGCTCATAAGGCTAATTGCTTATCAAGGTCTTTCTTTTTTCTGTCACTGAGGGCAGAAACAACAGACTGAGTTTCTTTCTGCAATGTACCTGCAGTTACTGCATGTTAAGTTCGCATTGCACCCAAGTGCCAGTCCAAATGCCCCTCTGTTTAATCCACAGTATATATGCAAAATTGGTGGAATATTTTCTCCAAAACTAGAATGGTCCAAAACTCAGACATCATGCTAGCTCTGAGTTTTTTAAATTTCCATGTTGTCATTTGCAGAATCGAAAGTGTTGAAAGAGATTCCAGTCTTAGCAAGCACGTAGTGAAGCTGGTCTGTTCAATATCTTCCTGTCAGTTCTCCACTGCCAGTATACTTGCTTGCTTTCTCTATTCTTGGTTGGGGACACTGCCAAAAGGAAATGTGAGGAATCTGTCCAACAACTTGTCTCTTTCAAAATCCACATCCCATTTTTCAATTTTTTTTTTCTGTAATGGCTACTAGGACTCATAATAGTAAGGGATTGGGAAGAAATCCATTCCTCATTCTGTTGCAAAAGAACAAGGAGGGTGCAGTAGGTGTAGAAAGTCTGACCAGCTTTAGCAGAGGGATCCCACTTTGGGTGCAGTTTACTTTCCATAAATATGAGTGGAAGACTTGACAATACAGACTGATTGTAACTGTGGCAAGGCTTTTCCTGCCAGTATTGTGTAAGCTGGTTATTCTATTAAAAAAAATCCATGTAGTTTACAAATGTCTTATTTTTAAGTTTAATCAAATTTTGTATTAAATATAATCCGTGTTGATAATGCAGTTTATAAGCACATGCAGGAGCATCTGCTTCTGTTTTTGTCTAGTTGGAGATTATCCCTTAATCATGCAAGGCCCAGGTGTGCACTTTCAGATTTGTTGACTCAGGGAAGCTGGAGATAACATTAAAGACCAGTCACATTATACTGTAGTCACATTTAGGTTGTTGCTCCTCTGAAGAAGACTCTTGCTTGAACCACTCAGTGAAAAGAATGGCAAGAAGAAATGTCCTCATTACAGGTTGCTCCTCAGGAATTGGACTGGCATTAGCTGTAAAAATGGCAAAAGATGAACAGAAAAGATTTAAAGGTAACCATGTATCTGTTATTTATCTTTATAAAAAGATTCTGTTCAAGACAGTGCTGTTTTTTCTTCTGTGATTTTACAGGCAGTTGTATTCAGCTTGGTGACTCGTTTCTTGTTAGTTTTCCTCTTTTACTCTCAAGAAAATACAATACAGTGAAAAATATACTGTTTTCTGTAAGCAGTTTATATTTCTGTAGCTGTACTGAAACTGAACAACTACTGGAAGTGAATAAGTTTACACACACACTGGGAAATGATGGGAACATAAAGCTGAATAGCTGCAGATCTCTGTAGTGTGCTACCTCAGATAGACATTCACAGCTTTGCTTGGGGCTCCTAAAATCTGTTGAATGAAACGTATGTGCCCATGTCCATTTGAGGACCAAAGGAGGGAATTTAGATAAACAGTTCCTAAATTTGCAGTTTTTTCTTTAAAGCACATCATTATTCCAACTCTGTGCAGGCATAACTGGGTGAACAAAGGGACTGGGATTTGTCTTACTGCTGCAAAACAGGGTATTTGCTATGATTGAAAATGGATGGCAAGGTGAACACAGCAATCTGTGCTAATTCAGTTTCTCATACTTACTTTCACACTTTTTTACTGCTAACTGACTGGATGCAGATTCAGAGCTTTCCGAGTAATTAGGCCACAATAATGTTAAAACTAATTTCTATTTTGAGAAGTAGTTGGCAAAAAGTAGACATTTTTTCAACCTAAGGAAGTATTTGTCTTCCACTTTTTTAATAAAATTATTGTTGGTCTACTAAACAGGTTGATGGTGATTTGAAACAAAAAAAGAAAGAGAGAGGTTTTGGGTACCTAAAAACAATTTAACCGTATAACTTGATATCTGTTACTTAAATTTTGGTGATAATATTATCTTTATACACTGCATTCTTCATTGTGTGTAGTGGTTTAATTCTTCTTTTGAATTTCTTGAAGATTTCAGAAACAGTCTCTGGGAAATCAGTGACAATATATGTTGAAAATAGTCTTTTTACTTCTAGTTTTTATCTGGTTTCTATCACTGATATTTAAGATCTGGATGTAAAAGCAATATTCTTTAATACTTCTCAGTAAGACTGACAGAGTAAAGATTTTATTTCTGCTAACTGTTGCTTCTGGTGTTTTGCAGTTTATGCCACAATGCGGAATCTGTCCAAGAAAGAGCCACTGGAGGAAGCTGCGGGTCACAGGCTGGGCAAAACCCTCGAAATTAAACAACTTGACGTCTGTGATGAACAGTCTATTAAAGCTTGTGTGAACAGTATCCCTGACAGAAGGATTGATGTCTTAGGCAAGTACAGGATGTGTGTGCTATGAACAGATACCAGATTTCTGTATATCATCATCTCAAATAACCTGCAGAAGTTTCATCAGTGTAGTTTTTAAATTATCAAAGTAATAATAATTGCGTAGTATATTCTGTTCAAGATTTTAAGACTTCATGCAGACATGAGTAGATTAAATCTAACCCTGCTTTCATGAAGTAGGGAAGCTTATTTTCCTTGTTTATAAAGGAGAAACCTGATCACAGGGAAGTCTTGGATAAGATGATACAGTTTTTAGTAAATGTGAGAACTTTTGCCTAAACCAGCACCTTCATGAGCAAGACTTTCTACTCTATTGATGAAGCAACAACTCTTTGTACTAAGAAAGCAACAGCATTTGGGAATTAGCAAGTAAAAGAACAAATACAAAGAAAGTAAGGATATTTTCACTTTGTATGGAGAATTTAAATTGTACTTTACAAATAATTCAACAAGAAGTGTTTTCATACTGTTTTGCTAAAAATAAATATTAATATCTTAGTAAGATGGAAATTGCTTACACCATCAGCTATTAAATCTTCTCTAATAGAAAATTATGGATCTACATTTATTTTGATTAATTATTAAAGCAGTGCTTAACAAGCTGTTTCTGCAAAATGTATTATACTCTAATTTGACATACTACTTGTAATGCAGAATGCCAGTCCTATCATCATTCTCCACTTACGAATATCCAGGAGACAAATAAAAATCAATAGAAGTGTGTGGTTTGTTTTGTTGGGGATTTATTTCCTCTTGAAGATATGAATGTTAAGAAAACAAAAAGCAGACCACAATATGGCCCAGTCTATCATGTTTTGAAGACTTCTGTTCATTCTTATGGGTATTGACTGTAACTTTTAATTCTTAATACTGAATTATAAACAAATACAGGTAATTCTTGTCTCATTTTCCTATAATACTTTAGTAATTTTTTTAAAAAAGGACTAATCAGAAATAAATTAGTTAAAATGCAAAGTATCTCATAATTTAAATTGGATTAAAAGCATAGTTAAAAATAGAGAAATCCGGAAATGTCAAGTGTACTTGCAAAGCTTTAGTGACAATAACATCTTTTAATCCTTTCTAAAAGGATTATTTAAGGATCATTTAACCCTTAATCCTCATTTTACTTTCAAATGTTTTCCAGTAATGATTACAAGTTTATGTTTATGGAGGTTGTTGCTCACTGTTGTCTCCCATTTTGCCCAGTGAGCAATGCTGGAATGGGGCTCATTGGACCTATTGAATGTCAGACCATAGATGAAATGAAAACTGTGATGGATACCAACTTCTTTGGACTGGTTCGACTCCTGAAGGAGATTTTGCCTGACATGAAGAGGAGAAAGAGTGGGCATATAGTTATAATAAGCAGTGTTATGGGAATACAAGGTAAAGTTTGTTTGTTTGTTTGTTTGTTTGACCTAAGAGTTCAGTACTCAAAATTTAAAGCTTTCCTCTTTTCATCTAAAAGAAAAAAAAGTAGGAGCTGACATATCTTAACTGTTGCGTTTCTTAATGCTGAAGTTCCAACCATAAAAAGTACCTGATGGGTTTTATGCATCTAAGGGGGATGTTGCTACACAGCTACTCTCAAGACATTTTAGCAACAAAACCTGCAGAGTGAATCTTTTTTTAGGGTTTTAACTTAAACTCCAATTTTTTTTAAATGTTATTGTTTTATTTTTATTATCTGGAGAATAGGGCTTGGCATCACTTTTATCTTTCTTACTGGAAGAAATTATGGGAACAGACAAACATGCTTATTACAGTCTGCAAAATAATCATAATAGAATAAAATCCAATCCTGAACAACTGTACCACCTTTTTGTAAAGTTTCTCATCTCATAAAACTCGGAGAGTAAAATTTCACTGACAGATAATGGTACTCCCACTCTCGTGTCCCATCCTGTCTAACTGTATTTGTTTCAATTATTACAACTTACCTGGATTATTCTGGTGAGCAAGGGCCCTACAGCAATCTGCACAAGTTGTAATATTTACCCTCCACCTAAATGGATT